AGTTGAAGGTCCACTGATGTTTCGGAAATTTGATATTATTTCCTTCCTCAGGTGACACGATGTGGAGACACCTGCTCGGTGACTTCTGTTAGGTAAAGTTAATTACACTCTCTGGACCTCAGATGATTTATATTAGCTCTATTTAACTGGGTGTTTCTTTCGTTCCCCTTTCACTTGAGGACACAAGGAAATCCAGTTCTTTAGACCATAAACTATGGACAAATTTCTATACCACAGTAATCCCGATTGTAATGCTCATGCACCATCGACAGACCCTTTATTTCATTCATTCATCAATGGCTCTACAGCCCCTTGTTGAGCTCTGGCCTCGTCTTCAAATTCGTAATCTCTTTTTACAGTGACGGTAGGACTCCTTGGACAAGTGATCAACCTGTCGCAAAGACTCTTTCTTAGTGATGTTTATTAATTCAATTCAGTTCAATTCAATTCGTGTTTATTTATGTGCAAACTTAACAGCACAGTGGCCAATTACAAAGTTAGCACGAGTATATATAAATACACAAAAATTAAAGAGCAAAATAAAAAATATGACAATCTATACAATATCAATAAATTAGTAACAATTCCAAGAAAAGAGAAAAAATAAGTTAGCTTTAACAGGAGAGAAAAATAAAATAAGTACATTTCGAATGGTTATTCCATTATGTGATGAGAAAGGACAATACACATACATAAATACGTAGAAGTTAGTAATAATAATAATAATAATAATAATAATAGCACACTTGCATTTATTCGTCAGTCTTAATATCACCACAACAAAATTTCTTCTGCCAACACATAGTATCTATTCTTTTTGTGTGTGAATACTGCCATAGAACAATCACCTGGTAAGTAGATAGGCCCTATGGACCTCCAGCTGTGTCATAATCACATCTCCCGTGGAGTAGAGAACAAAAATTAGTTCTGTTACTCTCAAACATTCCGTTGATTTTGTGATGCTGAATAAATTTGACGACAGGTTGGATTTTAATTGTTTGAGTAAGGAAGTGTGTTATATTTGTATAATAGCTTATGGATATACGCTTTCACATAAAACTCTTCTCTGAAGCTGCCCATATATTTTTAACTGGTTTCAGTATTGTCGCTATTTGCTGGCATAAACCAACATAACTATCTGTTACTCATATTTTGTGTACTGTTAATAGAATAGAAGAAAATGTTTTAATATTATTATGTAAATAAGGAAGCTGCTACTTATAGGAGATATGAACTGGGTCTGTACCCTGTTTCTAAGGGTTAATCCAAACGGTCAGTCTCTCTCTTCTTTCGTTTGGGTGATATTCAAACAACTCCTGCAGAATTTGGCCAGTTCGTATTCTTGTGATATGATCATAGCAGTTCACTTTATATTCATTTTTTTTCTGTCGTGGATCAAATATACTTTTTTCTGCCTAACTTCTTCAAGTTAGATTTAGCGGGAGTACAGGAGGTCAGATTGGACCGAGGTGGCACCGAACCAGCAGACGAATATACATTTTTCCATGGAAAGGGGAATGAAAATCATGAATTAGGTGCAGGTTTCTTCGTACATAAGAGAATCATATCACCAGTTAAGAGGGTAGAGTTCGTTAGTGATAGGATGTCATACATAACACTAAGATGTAGCTGGTGTGATATCATTGTTATGAACGTTCATGCCCCAACAGAGTAGGTGGGTGGATAAAATTAGAATGGATCTTAGAGAGATAGGATAGGATGGGATGGATTGGATAGATCTGGCTGAGGGTAGGGACCAGTGGAGGGCTCTTGTGAACACGGTAATGAACCTTCGGGTTCCATAAAATTCTGGGAAATTCTTGAGTAGTTGCAGAATTGGTGGCTCCTCCAGAAGGGCTCAGCTCCATGAGTAAGTAAGTAGGTAAGTAAGTAAGTAACTTCATTTATTCTTTGGTCTATTATTCAATAGCCTGCTAGAGTTCTCGGAAACCTCATTTAATCGGTTTCAATTGATCAACTGATCAGACTATTAATATAACTTTTTTACGAAGGTTTAGATCGTTTTTACATAAAGGAGAGTGACTTGGCTGGTTTTAAATATGCCATAGGCTATAAGTGTTAATAGAATATGTCCGCTAACTTCATATGAACGATTAATGGGGTGTTTAAATGTCACGTGAAGGAATTCAATCTATGATTGCATACCCATAAACGGGGTTACTTACTTACTTACTTACTCATGGAGCTGATCCCTTCTGGAGGAGCAGCCAATTCTGCAGATACTCAAGAACTTCCCAGCATTTTATGGAACCCGAAGGTTCATTACCGTGTTCACAAGAGCCCTCCACTGGCCCCTATCCTGAGCCAGATCTATCCAATCCATACCATCCCAGAGGGTTACGAGTTACAAACTTTCTTAAAAATAAATTAACTAGGCATTATTCTCTTAAGGTTTTAAGATATGTCATCATGCCTTTCAAATAACAGCATGTGAGATTTGAAGTTTTCATGGGGAGGTTATGGAGATTAGACCGGCAGGTCTACACGGATTCATATCCAAGAAAACAGCAATCACCAGTGTTTATTATATCGTTTCCTTTGCTGTTGTGATTTTTATAATTCTGTAAATGCTTTTTTCTTCTGACTGTAAGGCCAGGCTGTGCACCATGCATGTAGATAAGTAGTCGAATATTTAACTTATAATTATGGCACTACGTATTTCTAAACTTGCAAAAGAGACTATCTTTGCTCCATCCGTTACTCCCACAAATTCTGTTACAGTATCTTAAACAAGACATTTCACATGTCTCAAGACTTGTCAATCATATTCGGTCTCCTGTTTCTGACTTTCAGCCATAAGGCTGTATAATTCATACGACATTGTCAGTAACTAAGTCGAGACCCACGTGTTTAAAACCCCATAAATTGGCAGGCCACCACTTTCAATGAGAGACGTGAAGGTGCATCGAATTCATGATTTAGTAGAGTGATTATTTTACAAGCTGGACATCCGAGAAATATAAGATAAAATTATTTTTCTTTTCTCCATGCAGTCCAGACTTGTTCTGGGGCAGTCCCGGCCCCCTGTACAATGCGTACCGGGGTTAAAGCGACAGGGGCATGAAACTGGCTACTCACCCCATCTAGTGCCAAGGTTAAGAATGGTGGAACTGCACCTTCACGCCCTCGTATGATTTCATGTCATGTCAGCATAACTTCATGTTTCCCTTTTACCATGATTATGAGCAAGAGTCAGAAACTGGAATTTAAAATTCTGACAGCGGTTGTTACAAAGAGCCCTGTTATCTGGGATATAACGCCGTATAGTATGCTGTATGTTAATCTGACGTTTCGGAGGGAAAACTGTGTTTGTTACATGCTTCACTGTTATGGTTTCATGTTTGGTCTTATTTTTTACGCTGAAGATTGTGGTACCTTGCTACTCCGAAATGTCAGGTGTCTTTCAGATGATTACATGGCGATATGTCTCAGAAGACAGAACCTTTAAGAGTCGGCATTTATAATCCGGAATAGATCAAGAATTTTCGGTTTTGCAGACCTCATCCTGACTATACGAAGTTTACATAGGACATTTTTTGGTATACTTGATTCATGCATAGCGTTTCGGAAATGATTGGTTGTAATTATACTGACCCATTCGTTATTGATTTCTAGTAGCGCTCGCAACCCTGCGGACAGCCTGTTAATTTTAGTGAGGCCACCCGTCACTCTGCACACATGAACTAATTTATAAATCGCTGGACAGTTTTCTATTCACTTGTACATTCGAGACTTCGAGGCATTTCAAATTCCATTCAGATCAGAAAATTTTAATGACCACTTTACATGAAGATTTACATGCTTTTCTGCAGATACCTCTACGGTAACTCGCTAAATATTTAGCGAAGGGAATATTGTTTCGAACAAATGTTACGGAGAAAACTGAATCACGCGTAGTTTGTCATGTGTCATACGGTTTTCGACACGATGAGACGATTAAACAAAAGGGGATCCATGTGTAAATTTCCTAAATTTCTTATTCAGTAATCAACAATGACCTTCTGCACACAATTGCAAGCAAGAAAGGAGAAAGACGAAAGGAATACGCTTGCTATCTTCTTTATGATCGTATCTCCCTTGGTTCACTCTTCAGTCTTTAATACGGAGGTGAAATATCACTCCGAAACTTTGGTGAACATTCGTTGGAATATACGACGATATATTACAGAAGACGTAACTCTACGTGACCATCGATGCGAGAATCTCAATCCATAAAATTTTAGATAAAAATCCTCCCTCCTCCTTCCCCCCCCCCTTCCAACACATCAACAGAGCCCGCCCAGCAGACCGGAAGATGCAACGTAGGGCTTACACATACGGAACAATTTCTTGTCTGTGAGTTTATTTCTTGCACTTAATGCAAATAACGAATCGAATACTGTCGGCCTAAGACTGCAGACTGCAGCTCAGGGGGATTAGGCTCAGTTATGTGTTAACTACACGAGTCAAGACTCTTAACACACATTTAAATCTGTGTGAATTTTATTTTACTCTTCTACAAAACATCACCGAAACAAGACAGGAGTAAGTTAAAACCAATTATTATTTTATTTGATAAGATTTAGGTCTTTTGGACTGTGATGCCGTGTTGTTTGGTAGACAGCAGCAACGTTTATCAGGAAACTATTGCCTCCGTCTGTGATCGAATTCAGCAAGGATGCATAATTGTGGTAATACATATATACATATATGGATATTAGAGGAAGCGCATCGATTAAGCTTATGAAGAGAGACATCTCTGGATTCTTAACCACCAACTATGTTTTCTGAAGTTGGAGGTATTTCAGTTTATGTTGTTCTCTTATCGTGTTCTATTTTTCCCCGAAGGGAACACAATACATACATCCGCGGACACGACGTTCAAATGAGGACTTTCCTAAGACGGAAACCCTTATAAATCGGAATACACAAACCTAATTCTGTGTGCCTATATTTCATTCTGGCATTTACATGTGTGTGGGTGTGTGTTGTGTTGCCAGGTTCGAAGGACGTGTGTGATGACTTAAAGCGCCATCACGCCGAGCTGAAAGCTTCCCATCTGGACCACGGCGGTAACTCGGACCACCATTCAGGTCGCCTGGGAACAGGGTCCCTGTGCGAGCCGCCGCCAGGGCTTCCTCCTCAGCACACAGGGCAGCAGCAGCAGCAACAGGGCCTGCCTCCCGGCCCTGCCTCGGACTCAGACAAACCAGCAAAGCAGAAGCGACATCGAACCCGTTTCACCCCCGCGCAACTGAACGAACTGGAGCGTTGCTTCTCCAAAACGCATTACCCGGATATATTCATGAGAGAAGAGATAGCCATCAGGATTGGTCTCACGGAGTCCAGGGTACAGGTGAGCTGCAAATACTGTTGCCACTATATATTTCCTTCCTTTATGGTCTCATGTAGACTTTACTAACTTTATAGAGTTTCAGCATTACGCCTTATTCTGAGGCTGCACGGATATTCTAGCCTACATTGCCGTCACATCTTCAGCAAGAACGTGGCACAAGAGAGCAGTGATATTGATTACATGCGGCTGCCTTCATCTGCCGACACAACTTGGCTTAGTGTCGAGCCCTATATGGCATGCCGACCATATTTGAGTTACAGCGAAACACTTGGTGTCTCTTTCACTTTAGTGTCTCTTCTCTAAGAATAAGAAGGGTCAGGTGACTATAGAAGGGCAATGAGTGTACCAAATACAGCGAAGGCAGGCTTATATTTTCTGATTATGGCACCGTCAGCTCTCATGATGATGAAATACTTTCTGCCTTCTATTTATCATGACTTTGTGTTATACTGAGGCCCTCAGTGCAGCCATGACCCCACCTCTGCGGCATTTGATGAAATCTGGATGCATAACTATACAGAGTGTCCCAGGAGGAATGGACCAAACTTCGGGAGGGTGTTCCTTATGTTAAAGTATGCCGATATAATCCAAAACACCTATGTCCAAAGTTGAACGGTTACGGAGATAATGGCCCAAGAAAAGTGTGGTCTTCTAGCGGGTCCACGGATTATACCTATCAGCTGAGAGGCCTTATCTCTGTTTGTCCTTGAGTGCGGTGATACACCATAGCCGCACTTATGTAGTTGGCTTTATCAGAACGCGCAGTCAGTACGTTACGTCAGCGCTTGCCATTCATGTGTCATGTATAGTGCTTGGAAACCCTAAGGACAAGTATGACATGGCGAGCGAGTATTTTGTACTTCAATTTTATGGCTTCATGTCACTCACAAGTTAGTTTGATGTTACGTACATTATTAACATTACAGAATCCACATANTCTGACAAGGGCTCTCTGGAAGCATCTTGGTCTGAGAGAGTTTGTCTCTCTTCGTGATGTCCCTTGTTCGGATTCAGCACCCTCGGAGATGTTGGTAATATTCTTAGGACCACAGATAGAAGGTTCTTATTTCTTATTTCTTATTTCTATTATATTTATGGGTGTAAAACTTGGTCTCTGACATTACAGGAGGAATATAGACTGAGGTTGTTTGAGAAGAGGGTGTTGAAGAGAATATTTAGACCGAGAAGAAATATATTGACGAGAGGTTGGAGAAAATTGCGCAATTAAGAGCTTCATAACTTATACTCTTCTCCAAGTATAATTAGAATGATAAAGTCAATGAAGATGAGATGGGCAGGATATATAGCATGAATGGGGTGAAGAGAATATGAAATGCATAGAGGATATTCGTTGGAAAGCCAGAAGGAAAGAGACCACTACGAAGACCAAGACATAGGTGGGTGGATATTAAAATTAATCTTAGATAAATAGCATGGGATAGTATGGACAGGATTAATCTGGCTGAGGATAGGAACCAGTGGAGGGCGCTTGTGAACACGATAATGAATCTTCGGGTTCCATAAAATACTTGGAATACTTGAGTAGCTACACAACTGGCGCCTTCTCAAGAAGGACTGAGTTTCGTGAGTGTGTGATGAGTGAGTAGGTTAATTAAGTATAGGGTTATCCAGGTAAATATATTTAATATAATTATTGGTCTCAACTGCTGAATATTTTCGGTTGTCGTGAACACTGCATAGCAGCTCTGTGATACATTTTCATACCAGCTGAAAATACGAGTATTTTTGCAAGCTGCTTGATCGACAACTTAGTTCCTGCTTGTGTCAATCAAAATTTAATTATGCCACGATTTAGGTTCTGTATTCATTATTATATTATCCTAAAGTATCTGGGCCGGTCACGGTAGCCGATCGGTCTAAGGCGTGCACTGTCTTCGCTCGCTGGGAAGCCGGGATCGTGGGTTCGAATCCCACTCAGGGCATGGATGTTTAGTTTGTGTGTGCGTGTTTCTGTGTTTCTGTACAGGTAGAGGCCTTGCTGCGAGCTGATCACC